ATATATATATATATATATATATATACGATCTTTGAGAGAATTGAAAGTCAAATGCAAGCATAGTTCAACAGCATCTTAGAGGTCTGAGCTACCTCCCACATTTGCGCTTTTTGTTTGCTGAAATTTCTGGCTTTGTGGTTTCACCCAAATATTTTCTGTCTAGGAGTTTTTCAATTCTTCACTTGTAGAGGTACACTGCCAAATAAGCAAATAGAACTCGGATAGAGAACACTATACTCAGACTAACAAAAAGGCAAATAGGGTTTACGGTTTTAGGGTTTAAGGGTTTAGGGTTTAGGGTTTATCATGCACCTTCACTGCTGAATCTACTGCCCCTGAGCTTCCTCCATTTCTTTTGCCATCCACGGGACCCTTCTTTCTTGCTCCATGTTAAGTTCTGATGCAACTTCTGTACGCCAGTGGTATAGTGCTTTCTCGTTTTTCATGTTTCGCGTTTGCTTCATCTTCGTTATCACTTATTCGCTGCTCTAGTACTTTTTTTCACTATTATTTTTTCGTTTACTTATTAGTCTAGCGTTTGTCTGTGAATCAGATCAATACTCTCTGCTTTCCCTTTCCCATACAGATTCAGCTGCTTGGAACCTACACCCTATAGGCGCTGCTGGGTAGTTGCCGGTGTATCTTTCTCTTCGTGTTCTTTTCTTTGAAACGGTTTCAGTTGCTGCATTTCTTGTTGCTTTGCACCACGGCAACATTTACCCAAGAGGAAATGAGCAGAAAGCGACTACAGGTTCTTCTTGCTGCAACAAGGGGACCCGTCGCTGTATAGATATGGCGAATATGCGTAAATACAGTTGAAGCGCTTTATGCTTTTCACGCTGCTTCTTGGGGTAGCAGTTGAGTCAGTGTCCAGGCAAGCTGCCATGCGCATGGGGGCGTATTAGGTTTCCGTTGCGCTGAAGGGTTTCTGATAAAGGGGTTGTAGTGCGTGTACACCCGAAAGTGTGAGTTTTCCGTATCACGTTCGGGGGCGGCAATACCGCAAGAGTAAAAGCCAAAGTTGCTGCATCAGCATACGGAGAAGACAGCGTTTCGGGCGTAGTTGTATAGGGATAGAATCATGTGTAAGCAGCCTGGATAAGGGTGTAGGTAACCCCGCATGAAAGCACAACCAAGCCCCATATGTTGCATGCACCAGCATCATAGACAGTTATTGAACATTTATTTTGGCCCTCTACTGTCGGCCTACAAGCAAGTATGAACGTACGTACCAACTTCACACAGAGCATGTATGCTAGAGTTAGTGTAGCCTGAGTCCTGAGCCTTAAGCTAGGACTTTTTCGAGTTGCAATTA